AAAGCGTCCGTCTAAACCATTGACCATTAGGATTAAAACCTGATCGTTTTGCTTTCTAATGGGAATTGGTAGTTACCTTTAGAGATCACTAGTGTCCAGTATGGCACCTTTAGATCCCATTGGGAAACCATTAAACGTCCCAGAACACCTGTTAAACTATTAGACTCCTTTACACTGTAGTATCAACCCATCAGGAAAGCACAAAAAACCATTACTGACTATTGGTCACCACCAGGAACCAGCAGAAACTTTTAATAGTTTCTGTGATTTTTTTTTCAGCAGAAGTTTTGTTTATTATAAATAATGAGAGAAAGTGACTGTGCTAAGTTTTATGAACACATGAGCCGTTTAGCAAGTCTCTGTTAATTGTCTGTCCAGTTTTTTGACTAAACTGTGATATGAAGGAAGTTTAGAGGCTCTGTATCTCAAACAACGGCCGACATGTTCACTTAAACTGAAAAGATCGCTCATCCATTAAGCACATTCATATAAAGCACGCAAACCATGCTATAACAATAAGCTATAAAACTGATCTTATCTTTTTGTTATTTTCTTTAAACTTTTAGCCGATATTTAAATTTAGGGCGAGTATAGCTGCATCACACATTCTCTCTTTTTGCTTGTGTGGAAAGTCAATTCTCCATCAACTGTTTGTGAAAAGGTCTTATAACTTCACCTCAGTGCTTTGGGCTCAGACCCGTGCAGCCTAAATAAGTGCATTTGTTGAGGCTTTTAAAGGAAAGTTTCACAGACTTTGCATTTTGTTTTGAAGACAAAGTGACTGGATTCTCTCCAGTTCCATGCAGCAACCAATGTGGGCTAAGAAACGCGAACACGACAGCGCACAGAATTATTTTTCATTTGAATAATATGACAGCTTTCCTCGCGACACATTTACACTATTTTTCCCAGCAGATTTAGTTGGATTGGACAGCTTTGTTTGAGTTATGCAGCTTCAGTTAAATGTGCTGCTTCCAAGATTTTTTACAAACACACACACACACACACACACACACACACACACACACACGCACACAAACAACAAACAAATACATAAATAAATAAATATTTACGGATGATTCAGTAACTGGCGCAATTTTACACTAGTCTATCAGTGGTCAGTGGGCCTGAAGCTGTAGGGATTATTAGGCTGCTAGGCTGCAGATAAGGCTCAGTGGAGAATCCCTATACTAATAATATTTTAGTATAAGGCGTTTCAAATTGAATCAGTTCAGAACTGAGCTCAGTGATAAACTAATCTGGCTATTTTTTTATTCAGATATAATTTTTTCAGACATGAGCAGTTGTTCAGTCTTCACTTCACTGCAGTCTGTATGAAGCAGTGCTGAGGGGATATGAGGTCACATCTTATTAAACACTCTGTTCATTTATATTAATTTGATTTTAACCTACTGTCAAAGTCACAGAATGCCTGAAAGAAAGAAAGAAAGAAAGAAAGAAAGAAAGAAAGAAAGAAAGAAAGAAAGAAGGAAGGAAGGTAGGAAGAGAGAAAGAAAGAAAAGAAAGAAAGAAAGAAAAAAAGAAAGAAAGAAGAGGCAACAGTCTGCAAAAACATTTTTGCATTCTTGCTTCTATTTTGCTTTCTTTTCTAGTTTTAATACTAAGTTTTCCATGACAAACTGCAGTCATATGCAAAAGTCTGAATAAAATTACGTGTGACAAATGACGTGTTTAGTGATTTTCTAAGTGAAAATAAGTTTACTCGTCCTCTAAGTAGAACACACTTAAATATGACAATTTTCTGCTAATTGTAGGGCACAATTTTTATTTGTTTGCTGAGTTTAACACATTGGAAAAAAACATAAAATATAAAATTTTGCAGAGGTCACATTTTATATTTTATGCTTTATTTTTTTTCTTCTCAATGTGTTAAATTCAGCAAATAAACAGTAATTGAGGGTTTAAATGGTCAGTTCTCTGTGGAGGGTATATTAACTTATTTTCTTATTTACAGAACAAAACACACAAACCTTTCACTGATATTCTCAGCACAACAATTTGAGTTTGACCTTAACATGGTCACTGTCACAGATTTGAAATTTGAATTGTGACCAAGAAATGCAGACTACTGAATATTTTCCACTTTACTTTGCTTTGTTTGATTTTTTCAAAATTTTCAAAATTTTATTATTTCAATGGGAAACAAAACAAGATTTTCAGATGTGACCTCAGACGTTTGGACTCCACTGTTTTATATATATTTGGTTTAGAATTTACTTTTTTCTTTTTCATTCGCACAGAACAATTTAAAGAGTTTATCTGGATTTTTTCAGTATCTAAACAGTTGTCCCGTTGTGGTAGTTATACAGGCCATTTACACTGCAACTATTGATAGATGCATTAAAGATAGATGTCTTTCAAATAGCCATATTTCATATTTGATCTTCTGGAGAGTCTTCTCTCTCTTCTTCTCTTTCGTCAGATAGAAACCGCTGAGCTGTCGGGGTAGGTCAACTAGACGTGTCATCAGTCTTATTATCGGATGAAAAAGCCCAACAGCAGCCCTCTGTTGAGTTTAGGAGATTTAGAGCAGATATAAATATAATCAAAGCGTCTTTCTATATACCTTAGCTGATTTGTTTTTTACTGCTATGATGTTTAAAAAACAAACAAAGACGCGTCGGTGCTTTTAAATTTTAATGCACTGGGCCTAGTGGCTCACAGACAGGTGGCGCTGTGGTCTGTCTGTACGCCAAGTAGCGAAAATTCACTGGAAAAATATAAAATAATACTGAATTATGGGCTATTAAAACTGCGCTTTTTATTTTCGATAATCGAGTTCGAGTTCGTCTATTTATGGATCATCTCAATAAAGTGTTAATAATACGTACGTGCACAAAAACAGTGGCTGTAATATTATAACGCGCTATTATAAGACATTTAAAATACTTCAAGGTTCTTCAAGGGTTCTTTAGTAAAGACAACGGTTATATAGCACCGAAATGGGTTCTATTGTCACGACGTCAGGTTTGTATACAGTAGAAGAACTCCTTCTGCTGCTATATAGAACCAACAACAAGTTCCATAAAGAACCATACACAACACTTTCTCCATCAATATGAAGAACCATTTCACCATGCGAATAACCCTTAAAGCATAAAATGGTTCTTTGAGTGTTCATGGTTCAATGTGGAACCATTATCTTTACTAAAGAACACATAATGAAACAAAGAACAGTATGTCTCTTTGCAGGAAATGAAGGTGGGACTTCATTCAGTGCTCATGTAGATACAACGTACAGAAAAAGGAGTCAGAATAGAGTCAGTTTGGCCTGCATGTGAACTAACCGTCACAATTATACATTTGATCTTCTTAGACTGTCCAAATATCAAAAACAAAAGGGACCAGCAATGTTTCTTTGGAGCGATGATATAGAGGAACCGTGAAGAACCTTAAATCGATTTCATTGATTCGTTTCTATGAAGTCAATGCTACAAATAGGATGTTTGGATGAGAAGAACTTTTCCTCCAAGTAATTTAAAAGGTTCTTTGCCCGGTCGAGCCAAGAATCAGTTAAGAAAGGGTTATTTGGGGAAGAACTTCTGTTGCCCCACAGAAGCTTTCAGTGGACGGTTCTTCAAGGAACCGATGTTGCAAACGAGATGTGCGAACGTGAATAATGTTTTTGAAAGTTCCCCCACGTAATGTAGAGCCTCCTTACCAGTTAAAGACTCAAGCCAATCATCATTTTGAAACCTTTCAGTATGACGTGCCAAAAGAGCTCTTTGGAGCCAGGCTGTAGAAGAACCTCGACGAACCTTTCAGTGCATGTTCATTTTATTTGATTATCTCTTGAAAATACTGTTACAATGACACGTTTCAATGAGGAGAAAGTTCCTCTACATGGTTCTTTACCTGCTAAAGGTTTATTCAAGCCCAGAATTATTTAAAATTATTTCTAATGGGTTCTTTGGAAGAAAAAACTTTTCACAGGACGTTTCTTTAAGGAAGCGGGAAATGTGAGACTGTGGGGAACATTTTAAAGCTCATCCAGATAATATAAAGTTGAAAATGATTTTAGAACATTAGAACATCCTCTCATTTCAGTTGATTTTTTTAATACAGCGAAATCACTGTAAATAAAGATGTGGAGAACCTTTAAAAGTTCTACACAAGTTAAAGGGTTTTTCAAGCCAAGAATCACTTTAGAACTTTTATTTTTAACGTGCCAAAAGGGGTTCTTTGGAGGATGCTACTGAGGAACCACAACTACTGTCCTCAGAAACCTTTTAAAAGTTGCAAATATAGGAATTGTACAGCATTTAAGAAGGTTTTACAGGCTAAGAACAATTTACAAAGCTTTTTTTTTAAGAGTGTAGTGAGGCCTGAAACGTTGAAACATTTTCTTCCAGAACATGAAATAATAATAATAATAATAATAATAATAATAATAATAATAATACCCAGAAAGTGAAAGTGTAAAACGTTTTATTTTGATGTTTTATACTGTGCAACAGTCACAATACAACAAGTTACTCATACAGTTGACCAGTGAGACACATGAACACTGCAGAACTCAGAACCTGCGGTCCAGAGAATGAGAAGATTGGGGGTCTGCCTGTGCACGCGGGCCTCTTCGCTGAACTCAACACGTTAATTGTCATTTTTCCCCTCACAAAATTTCGCGCAAGAATCAGAATATGCTACAGCTTAACGTTAAATTTTCACCCTAATTTTTTCTCTAACGCATACAGGCCTTTATCGTCCTTTAAAATGAACTAAATATATAGATATTTTTCCTTTGATACAGCTGAATATAATCAGGAATGTTTAGTAGGCCTAAACTACCCAAGAAAAGGCAAACCAAAAGTCATAAAAGTCATGCTTTTCGAGAACATACACGCTTAAAAATACAATTAAGCAAGTTTTGGATTCTTTTGTTTTGGGAAAAAAATAGAATAATAAATGAAGACCAAAGTAAAAAGACATATACATTATACATACATATATATATATATATATATATATATATATATATATATATATATATATATATATAAATCAGTCTGTTACGCAAACAGCTGCAAACACGGTCACTTTGCAGCCTAAAGAAACGAGGCTCCAGCAGATCTGGTGAAATGTGCCACTTCCACTATGTTAAAGTTACACGTGTAGTACGTTGGATGTTGATAACCATGAGGATACAGAGACGCGGCATCGGCGCGGAGACCGCCGCCCCTCATCACCCCGACGACGTGGAGGAGCCGTTAAGGGAGGGTTTGCGCGCTTTGCTGCCAAAGGTGAACTGTCGACTGGGGCTCGTCATGGAGGAGCCGTTGACGGGGTTGGAGATGTGGGGGAAGTGAGGGTGCGGGGACTGGAGCGGCGTGTTCGGACTGGGCAGCGGCGACGAGGTGGACGGCGCTCCGGCTGGACTGCTGGCCTTGTCGCTCGCGGAGTCGCTTTCCGAGCGGTTGGCGCTGTTGAGACCATCCTGCGGGTGGGCGATCTTCATCTTTTTGCAGTTAGGCCGCACCCGATACTTCAAGGGCAAAGGTCCGTTCTGTGGAGCGACCGATCAGATTTTTGGAACGTCAGCGTTGTTGCCAACAGCGCTGAAGGGGAATTCCACCCGATTCTCGAAACTACCGAGTAGTTGGATCGTTGAGAGGTCGTTCTGAGCGGTTTGTGTGTAAAATGCTTAGGTCTAGAATCACAATCGTTCACAGTGGTGGTGACAGGAACCAGACGTCCACTTCTAAAAGCTCCCTCACAGAAAGCTATGAAGTGAAATGGTTATGAACAAGCTGCCTGTCGCCTGAGACTTTTTCTTGCAACAGTTCTGAGAAGGTTTTGGCCTAAAACATCTACACTAGAGGGACATCTACACAGTCAGCAAACAATAACTACTGTACAGGTACATTTTTGTTCATCAAGGGACAAATAATGTAAATGGACCACCAAACAGTGCAACACTGTTCTGAAGGTCCAATTTTTTCCCACTATTTTACCACCATCATTTTGGATAATAAACAAAACAGCTATATTTGTGTTGTAGACATTGTGACCCTGGCTTCTATCATCACCACTGTAAAGAAATACGAGTCTCCACAAGGAAGCATCTCACTTCAAACCACTCTGAAAGATTTTACATTTCAACCACTGAATTTTGCAGATTTTTTGAAAAACTGGTGGAATTGCCCTTCAGTATGAATAAGTTAGCAGGCAGGTTTTTCTGGTAAGGTCTACTTACCCTTCTCCATGTGTAAATGTAAGCAATGTCCATTAACGTGTAGTAATCCTTCAGAGGTTCATCCTCATACATAACTTCAATCTGTGAAAAGAAAGAGTGACATCATATGTTACCTCACAGACTTAAAGCTGGAATTCTCTTAAATTCCACAGGGAATTTGTGAAAATGAAAACCACAAACAGAACTCTGGCTGACAGTAAGTCAACAAAGGCAGGTTATTTTGTCAAGCCAAAAAAGTCTGGAAATGAGATTACCTGGAAAGTACAGGGTATATCCATCTTGCTTCGCAGAAATTTCCTCAAATGCATCACAGTCATGGCAGCAGGACACTGCAAGTACCGCTTGTTATTTACCTTGGAAAAAAAAAAAATCAAAAAGAAAAATAAATACAGACAATTGGGCAGGGAAAGGTTTGACAAGTGGTAACAAATAACAAATGGACAACAATGTGGCTCAGAGCACTGTTACACACTGTTAAACAAGTGAGCTAATAATTTACCTCATTAATTCTACCTTTTAAAGGGGGATATTCCAGTGATTTTTTTTTTTTCAAAATTTCAACCAATTAAATGGTTAAGTTGTAAACAAAGTCACTCAAGAGTGGTTTTGGTATAAAATGCTCCTTTCTAGAGGAACTTGATAAGTCAGAATTGTTCACTGTGGTGGTGATGGGAACCAGACATCCACCTTACAGCTCCCTCAGAGAAAGTTAGCACATGAAATGGTTATGAATACACTTCCCTGAGATTACGGGTTATGGTAGTTGAGAGATTTTGGCAAATTTTTTTGTTTTTTTTTAATTGCATTCGTGGCAGAGAGATACATGCAGGCAAAACTATCGAAAGATTCACTACTTTTTTAACAATCATGATCATCACCATCATCATCATCATCATCATCATTACTATATAAAAAACTCAGAAGATACTAGTCATTTTGGAAAATGTATAAAATGGCCATGTGTGTTGCAGACATTGTGACCCCTGGTTTGTATCAGCAACCATTTCACATTAAACCACTTTGAAAGACTTTGTTTACATCTCAGTGACTGAAATCTGCAGATATTAAACAAAAGGCAGAATTTCCCATAATGTTATATTAGTGTTTAATATTACAAATACAGCCATCAAGACATTGTAAATATTATACCTCTTCTTTTGTCTGTTTGTCCTCTGCATTGCTTTGCTGTTTGGCCCTGAAATAAAAACAAAAATCAACAAAGATTAAATATTAAATTAAATGAATTAAATCTAGGAATTACACATGACCAAAAAGCTCAAAAAAATTAATTTTTACCTGGGGTCGAAGAACTCGATTGAGAGACTGATAATCTCATCATCTGTGATGATTCTCTTGTCCTCATCCGCAACCTCACCTCGATCTTCATTGGACCCATTTGCAGCTAAAAAGAAAAGAAAAGAAAAGATTCATATTCATATGTATAAATGAATTGGAAGGAGTGTCCAAAAATGTACACTATTTTTCTCCTTCATGGGAAGAGAATTGTTATGAATGACTTTAATGACTAACAGCTACTAATTCTTATAATATTTGAAGGGGCTTATCTTTAGACAGTGTGGATACACAAGTTAAAAGGATTTACCATCTACTGATGGATGTTCAGCATAGAAATCTCTCCTCCGCTTCATTTCATCTGCACGACACAAAGAGCTCTCAGTCAGGATGAACACTACCAACTGATTAAACCCATGTTATATACAGTGTTCCGGACCAATCACAGCACTGTTCCACACATATCTACATGCACAAACACCCATCCACTAATATTTAACGCTACTTACTTTTGAAGAGCCCTGGAACCAATTTGTACACGATGTCCTGCAGAGTTTTGTCCGACCTGAGACAGTGGAAAAATTTAGGAATATTTACATGGTCCACAAGTTCAATTAGCTTAGAGTCGAGTGCTTCTAATAGAATACCAATGAATGTCTCACACACAGTTTGAATACACAATCATGTGCAAAAGTTTTGGCACCCCTGGTCAAATCACCTGTTTTTGTTGTTTTTCTAAGAGAAATCAAATATGCATCCTCTACGAAAAACACACCCCTGCACATTTTAATGTGCTCTTTATTTGCTGAAATAAACATACTGGGGGAAAAAATGAACATAAAATGTGCCCTGTGCAAAAGTTCTGGCACACGATTTAATTTCTTTCCTTTATTGCTTTAGCAAATAAATAGAAGTGTGCTTAGAAAATGTTTTAGAAAAACAACAAAACATGTAATGTGACCAGGGGCGTTCAAAATCATGACTGTAAATGCCAGTAATCCTAATATTGACTTAGTAAGAAACTACAGAGGACAGGAAAAAACTACATTGTGCATGCTCAGCAACAGCCACTGTTCCTTCCTTGTCAATGCATTTATCAAAAGGAGGAGTGGAAAAGAAAAGCAATGTGCTCACCTAATATTGAGAAGAGGCTTTGTTTTGTGGACCTGGACGTCACATATGGGGCAGTACTTGCTGGTCTCCAGGTAGCGGACAATGCACATTTTACAAACTGATAATCCGAAAGCAAAATAAATCCATTAGAGCTGTACCTGAGACATGAAGCAGAACATCACTGGTGGACGCAAGCCTTGAGCAGGTACTTACACGAATGCAGGCATTCTATGATTGTGGTTGCATCGATGAAGTATCCACCACATAACACACACATCAAGTGTGGATTCAGCTCTGTGATCTTGATCCTTGTTGTGCGATGCATCGTCATGGAAAGAAGGTGAACTCCTGAGGGGAAAGGAGCACACCAGAAGGTTGGCAGACCATAAGGAATGATCTCATTTGTTCTCCATCAAATGTGCACCACTAGTGGGGCCAACAATACAGTTGTCTCGCATTGGTTTTGTAGGCTGAGCGTTGGTGCCCAGACAGCGTGGTGAACGGAAACAGCCCCGTTCTCCCCTGCTTCTCTGTCCTGATCCGGCATTTAACTCGTATTCCCAGAATTGCTACTTAATCGACCAGAGCTGGGAGATGCTTTCTGTTTCTATAGCAACTTCGGTCCCTTCCACGTGGCGACAAATTAAATCGCAGCCATGAAAAACGCAGCGAGCCTCTTCTGAAGAGAGAACACGCGAAAGCGACCCTTTCCAGCCAAATCTATCCAGTATACGATGTTCCCTCAACCAATCCAACAAGACGCTCTTAAGCTACGCAATTAGGCAAAAAACAGATGCTACAGTCAAGGGTCAGTTTTCCATCTCCGAGCATCCCATCCTAATGCGCGCGACCGCTGGCTTAAAAAAACAGACACGAAGACAGAAGTCTGTTCAGAGCAAAGCGTAAAACGGCTCAAATGAGGACCAGTTTGTCCCAGGCTTGGCAGCAGAGTCCAAAGGTTGCATGAAGATTTCAAAATTAGATGATCCTTTTGCTGCCACTAATGTCATAACCTCGATTATGGACTGTCATCCGGATATAAAGACCAAATTAAGGCGATTGTAAGAAACAGACATGCCTTTCAAAGCAGGCAAATTGTGCCTGACCTTCACCAATTCAACGTTATATCAGATCAGAACCTCCAGCAGAAGCCCACAGTGTTCTACTGCGCTGGTCACGCTGATTGCTAAGGCAGAAAAAATGAAGAATAATCGCTGAACAGCTGCATATGAGCCAAAGAGCGGCCATGTTGCACCGGTATCTGCCTGGAACCCTTGGCTGGGATTCAATAGGCTCATATGTGGGCCGTGAAACCTCGCAGATACCTGAGAATCCAGCTGCCCAAGTGCATCCCAACAGAAGGCACCACCAAACTGAAGCGCCAGTTTTACTTAAATTCATACAGTCAGAATAAGGCGTATAAAAATCACCTTTACTGCTACGTGATTTGGCTACGTATATTCCAGATAAGCAGGGGTGTGGTTCAGTAAATAGACGCCCCCCGCAACGTCGCTCTATCTATCCTAAATGACAAAATGCTGCGGGTGAAAACAAAGTGCAAAGTGCGCGCACGCATCTTGCACGCTGCTCAGGCCTAACCTGGTTAAGAAGCAAGTCACTGGAAGTCACCGCATGCCCATTGCGCAAATAAAGCGCATGTCACCTCTGTCTGCGATGTTTTATTTTAAGGTACAGCTACAAAAGACCAGAGAGGAAATAAACAGTTTTAAAAATAACACAATGTAGGAATGCGTTGTTTTAAACCTGCCTTGTTATCGGGCCATGGCTCATCCGACCCCTGAGGGCTGGGAGAGAAGACCTCCAAAAATCTCCAAGCCACAGTCAAAATATCAGCGAATGGCTTTAACAAATAGAAGCAAAAAGACTGCGTTAATAGACGAGCGCACGTGAACCAAAGGATGTGTTAACCTCATATTAGAACCAACATTTAAAGTGGGTGAAGCAGCCAATATACAATAAATAAGCACCAACATGAAGGTCAGTCAGCTTTTAAATAAAAGCGCAAAAACCTGCGCAATCGTTTCTACTACACGCTTGAAAGGATCGGAATAAGAGTAAACAAAGTAAACAAGGTGCACCGCACTCAGCCTCTTCAACCTCTTCCACGTGCCGAAATCTAAAAACTGCACCAAACTTCTCAAAATCACCAAAGCACGCGGATTTTAGCGCACGCGTTCTATACATTTTTATTCTCTTTCATCAATTTGCGACTCTTAATTTTAATCACACAAAACGCCAAACTGGTGCTCGAGCTCCTTCGCTTCAGCCTCCAGCAGCCCTGCGGCTGAATTTAAGTTAATCCAGGTCGCAAGCCAAGTTATTTCCACTTCACACAACCCGCATCGAGTTCTACACACGTTAAAGATTCCATATCTATAAAATGGAGAAATAGCGTTAGCGCGGAATAAGCAGAACATGCATTTGATCGCGCGCACATCTGAACCGACGCGGACACCCAGGCTGCCCAGAAGCGGATCAGCCCGACAATCACCAACAAAGCGTGTCGATCTGAGGAATAAAATCGCACAAAAGGGGAGTTAAACGTTGCGGGCGGTATAAAAGATTATGCGCAAAAATAAATAGCGACTAAAAATACAACTTAAAGCGCGTCTCCGAGCTCAAAACACGCATCCATGTTTAAAGCTCACGCGCATACATGCACACACACTCACTCACTCACTCACATGCACACATTGCTCACATGCACAAAACATACAGGACGCACGCGGTCCAAAAAAGGGCGCAAAACAGACAGACGCAAAACATAAAGGACGCTCACCTGGCAGCTGCGACGCGGATCCCGGAGAGCGAGTTTGCGAGTTTTTAGACCACGAAAGTTGAAGGAGGGAAGGAAAGAGGGAAGGAAGGAGGGAGGGAGGGAGAGAGGGTGGGAGGAGGAGGAGGAGGAGTGGAGGGGGGGAAGTCGATCAGCAGCAAACGAGTGCAAGCCGAGCGGCCATCTTGAAAACGGAACTGCTGCAGACGCTGTCAATCGCAATAAGCGCAGCAACGGCGCATTTCGGAATAAAAGGAATGCAGAAAAACGCCTCGCGCTGCCCTCCGCCTCGCCCGTGCCCGTATCCCCGCCGCTCGGAAAACGCTCGCGACGGCTCGCCTTTCGAGCCCGCGCGTGTTTGCGGAGAGCTGTGCGGAGATGGCCGTTTTTTCTGGCGGCCAGATTCCCCCCTCCACGGTCTCGGCGCTGATGGCTCGGTGCAAACTGACACCGTCCCCCAAAATGGCTTGCAGTCCGCCCGCCCCGCGCTGTCACGTGGTGCCGCTCCTTAAGGGCGGCCTGGGAATATGTGTCGGTGTATTAGGGAGGGAGGAAGGGAGGGCGACAGAAAGGTGAAGAACTGCGCCAATTGAAAATGCAAGCGCGATGCAGTTCTCATGCTATTTTTTGGTTTGCGCTTTCTGCGCCAGTGTATTTTGGTTATTCTTTTTTATGTCTAACCCGTGTTGTGGTTTGGAAAGATATTTTGTGGAAATGTTTAATACATGGAGAACTTCACGTTTCCGATGAAGAATAAGCGCGAGAACACATCTCTAATGAGATACCGAAGCGGGTAGATTGGCCCCGCTTTATTTGGATAGCCCCCAGTGGATTATCTGTAGGTGCTCAAATTATTAACAAACACTGTTGGGGTTGGGGTTAGTCTTAGCAACAGGGATAGGGTTATGATTAGGGAAGCTTAAGGTGAATTGAATAGAAAAATGTAAATGTAAGATCAGCATCTCCGAAGCGTGTCTAAATGAAACCGACGTTTTATATGAAAGGTTGAGGTTTCATTTATTAAATGAACAAGAAGAGCGCAGACTGGGACAACGGACACTGGTGTGGAGATCATCATAAAGAGCCCGTTCTCTTCACTGTTAAGCGGCTCCTGCTTAGAGTGCTCTAAAACTGATGGATCTGCTGCTTATAATTAGGCTTACAGCAATATATGCCCCGTAATATTAGGCTCAAAATTAATTATATGACATCTTATTGCTCAAAACGGTTCCAAAGATCACAATTTCAGCTCAAGCGTTTTCATCATGTTTTATTTTACAAAGTCAGCAACATATTAAGAGCAGAAAAGAGAATCCCACGCCGTCTCCGGCGGAAGGTGGGGTTTCGTCAAGGACGCCGGGGTGAGGGGTCTTACAGCTGGGTGGCTCTCTCCACGCTCTTCGCTGCGTCCTTCATCTTCCCCACTAAATCCTGGACAAGGTTCAAATCATAAGCGAATTTTTAATTCTCGCAAGAAAGACGATTTTCCACATTCTTTACCCCCATTTTTATTTCTCGTACGCTGGATAAATAAATATGTAGACAGACAGATAAGGCTGGGCAAGAGATAAGGGGACCTGAACTGAAACAAGCTCGTCTTCACCTTGCCAAAAATTAAACTCTATCTATTACTTGCTTTAATTCTCAAATCAATCAAGCCAGACCGTCCACATTTTTCCTCTACATGTTGTGAGCTGGGCTGGAGCAAAACAGTGTGGGGGTCCCCCAGGAACAGTTTGAGAACTTCTGCTTTAATAAACCCACATTTTGTTCTCCAATTTGCACAACTACAAAACAACGAACTTGATGGACAATACACAAAAATTTGGGGAAAAAATAGGCCTCATGGAAAGCCTTCTCATTTATTTATTCATTCATTCATTCATTTAGATAATGAGGTATATTCTCTCGTCCATATTCCAACAGCCCCCCCTTCAATGCGTCAATGGAGAAAAAGCACAAAAGGGACCACTGATATATTCAGGAAATGATGTGGAGCAGTGGTGCCCAAACTTTTTGTTCATATAACAAATATACAAATAAAGAAGGTAGAAGTTTCAAATTGAGTTTTTAAAAATACATAACATATAGACATACCTCAATACAATTTGAAAAGAAAATAAAAGAACTGAATGTTATTTACAGAATGAAAATGAGCTCTCTTATTGAGTGAGGTGGTAGGGCTACTTTCTGCTGGGCCAAATCAATCTTAGTGAAGAACAGCTTTAGAGAACAGCCCACGCTCATTAGAATGATCTGTAATGGGATGGACTGCCTGGGTGATCCATAAAACCCCCAAAGTTCTTAAGTTCTACACGCAAATAGGATTTTGCATGGCAAATATAATTTAGCATGACGTGCAAAACTTGCAGATGATGATTCGGACACTTCAGAAAGCCGGTTATTTCCTCAGTCAAGATTTCTTCACTACTCTGACGATCAGGCGTATAAATGTGACTACTTCACTTTCATGTTTCACAGGGCAAAAATAGTCAAACGATTTAGTTAATAAGAAATCATTTTAAATGTTTAACGGTTTTGAAGAGGCAGCCCGAGGCCTGGGAAGCCAAAACCAGACCGCGGAACAAGCCGTCAGCACCTAAATTAGCTTCACTAAGGCTTTATATTAATTGCATTGCAGAGAGTTACGCGCTTACCGTACTGCGCAACGTTCAAACGTGTTGAAAGTTGAACAGCGGAAATATCAGTAACCACACACGATTCAGATTTCTCAACGGTGACCTCTGTTCTGTGATGCCTGCGGCTTGATTTGATATTATCTTGACACATCTATGCATTAGATTTGGAAGTATGGAATAAAGTGAGTTTAATCAGGTTACTGATACAGTATTTGATGTACTCAAAGACAAACGCTACAAAACACATTTCACAAACTTGGGCTTTTTTTATCCAGACTGTTTGGTTTGCTGGCCAACACTAACTAGACTCATACTGCCATACTGCTTTAACCTCCATCATGATAAGCTTAACCCTCCTGTTATCCTCAAATTTACTAACATCTTTTAACCCTTAGGGTCAATTTGCCCCCAGCAATTTAAACCTCTGGGTAATATCAAAGTTCTGGTGGGAAAGATGCCCCCCCATGTCGTGTGAACTATCAGTGGTTCTCACATTACTACAGTTGTGATTATGTTAGGTTAGAGTCCTAAAGCAGAGGGAAATTTTTTATTAAGATTATAAAACCGCATGTTATAGTAACCTCAAAATCATCCAAAACAACCAAGACAAATGTGTGTAAAATATTGATATTTTTGTTTCATTCAGCTAAAATAGGGTCAAATTGACCCCAAAGAACAAAATGTGTGGAGGACATTGAAAACATCATGTTCATTGTGTGTTTTTCACAGTTATGCCCATTAAATTAGGAAATGGCATTAAATATAAGCAATAAATGATGATTCATTTATAGATGTTAAACACTGAATGGGGTCAAACTGACCACAAAGATAATAGGAGGGTTAATAAAACAGAGAGCTCATCACCGCTGTTTAGACCTTGCTGACTGCCTGTACCTTTTAGGATAGATTTTGAGGTCTGCTACTAGTTTATAAGGTTCTAAATGACGTTAAAGCTCCTGAACGTCTTTCTGTTTATGACCTTAGATTTGCAGATAAACTGTTAAAAAATGGGTTTTAACTTGAAAAAGTTAGTTACCAGACTGCCTTACATTTTGAGTTGCTTGAACTTTAAACACCAAAAATGTGTCAAATAACTCAAAATTTTAAGGCAGCCCAGTAATTTTTTAAAGTTAAAACCCCAATTGTTCTTTTAGCATCATGCTTCAGAGAAGGGGAACTCCACTGATTTTTACAAAAAAAAATCTGTATAATAGATCAGATGTAAAGTCTTTCACAGTGTTTTGATGTGAAATGCTCTGTTCTAGAGAAATTTACCAAATTGTTTATAGTGGTGCTTGTAGGAACCAGACATCTAGAGTTTATGGTTATGAATATGCTGCCTGATGCCTGAAACATTGTTTTATAATAGTTTTATAATAGTTTAAAACATATTTTAATTTCATGCATGCTGGAAAGTTACATGCAGGGTGTTGTTAGGCAAAATAGTCCCCAAAGGAAACACATTTTACCAAGTTTACCAGTATTTTACCATCAACATTACATATGAAAATTCAGGTATGGCTTCACTGGTGGCTTTGGATAGTAAACAAAAAGACTCATCACCACTAAAGAAATTTCAGTAAGTTTCTCTACAATGAACCATTTCACATAAACCTCTGTAAATGACTTTGTTTACATCTCAACCATTGAATTGGGTACCAATCAAAACAAAAACAAACAAAAATTGCTGATCCCTATCCCTTTTGCACCCTTCCAGCCTTTGGTGTAACCAAAATGAACAAGTTGGATGTCTACATCAGTTCAACTACAGCCTACAGCTTCTTAATTAGTTAGATTAAAATTTAATTCCATTCAAGGAAATCAAGACAATAGCTTAGCAAGACAATAAAATATATAAGAATAAACAATCACAGCCTCCTATACTGCTGCAAAGTTTGTCAGTGTGAGGAAGGTCAAGTGGAAATCTTCCTTAACTGCATCATCATTGGATCTAGATCTATAAGTTTACTTTATTTTAAACAGTCAACAAACATTTTTATTAAAATGTCTTAATATGAACAGAATAATTAGCATGATAAAGTCAACATCTTAAATAAGTACCTGCAGCTGCTCCAACGTACAGCTAAAATTTACGTCTGAAGATGTTCCCTCATTTCCACCATTCTGTAAAATGAGTTTTGTGTTATAGATAATGCAATGAAAGGAAATGAACAAACAACTCATTGTTGCATAGAATAGATAGTCACATACCTCAGTATTAAAAGAAATCAGGAAGGATGGTTGATTGACCTTATGCACATGGCCATTCTAATAAAAGAAACATCATAATTTAAGTTAAGATGCTATTAGTATTGTCATCTCCTTTTATAGTTAATATAATGATATACTACCTTTATGCAATATTCCAGGCGCCAAGAGGCATCTGTTATGTGAGGAGGGCATCTATCAATACTAAGACGAAGGCAAAGAAAATCATGTTAAAATTGGTGAATAGTTCATATTCCACTAATAGATTATTGCATATATTTTATTAACAACAAGAAGCTAATACAGGCCTTAAACAGGCTTCATTTAGTAATAGACAATAATTGATTATTGCATATTTCATTAGCACCAATAAGCTAATATAGGCCATAAACAAGTTACATTTGTTAATAGACACTGATAGATTATTACATAGTGCATTAGCAGCAATAAACTAATATAGGCCAGAATTTACATTTATCAGAATTCTACAAAAGACTGCATTAACTATTAATCAATACTGCATTCGTTGCTCTAGCAAATATTCACAATACAGTTTGTCTTCCTGACTCACCTTGACAACAGATTTTCCAGGTTTCTTTTATTTTTCTAAAAAGAAAGTTGAAAATAAGGCCATGAACAACATTACCCCACATATCATTCTGCGTGATTGAAAGGGGTGTGAATGAAAGGAGTCGTCACCTGGTATGATGTATAAAATGCGTCCACTCTCTCTGAATCAAATTTGACATCTTCAAGGCACGAACTGTCGAAGCAAATGCAGTTTATTTTAAGATGAACCCCGAAACCACTTTGGCATAATAGAGGTATTTCACGAAACATTAGTCATTACCTAATGGTTGACTTGTCTGCATTTTGCTTTACTCCTTCTAGTATAAACATTGTTGCTGCAACATGACAGTGTTTCAGAAGAGCCTGATCAATGTTCTTCAATTCTGGGTGATCTGTGACAGATGGAAACAAAGAACGATGTGACTTTAGCACTGGCTGAGATCATTTATATTTGCTTTGCTGCAGTAACAGCTTCTACTATTCTGGGAAGGATTTATACTAGATTTGGAACATTGCTGTGAGGATTTAATTCAACTGCGAGAGCATTAGTGAGGTCAGGTGCTGATGTTGCATGATTAGTTCTGGATCACTCCAACTCAGGTACAGGATGGAGCTTCATCACTCCACAAAACACAGTTCCATTGCTCTACAGCCCAGTGTAGTGGTGCTTCATACCCCTCTAGCCGACACTTGGCATTGGGCATGGTGACGTTAGGCTTGTGTGTGGGTGCTTGAGTCCTATTCTATTGGTCAGTACTTTTCTGTGGCGATTGTGCAAGCTGCATGTGTGCAACTGAACACCCACATCAGCAATGGGTGCACCTTTAAGGGTCCATATCCAACATTTTCCTATAATATTCTATTGTAATTCTTGTGTAGTAGGAAAAGATTAATACTTTTATATTGAAACTGCAGTTTGAAAGAACGCAGTTTTCAAATGGCAAGAGCTGCGATTTTAATTATAAGATCTTCATCAACAACAATGCTAAGTTTTAAGTTAGGAAATTTAACCCAATAACACAGAGCTTGTGATTTGCCTGTAGTATAGTCAGACCAATCAGCATGTTGTGTACATGACAAAACAACCAATCTGGCACACTACATTCAGCGGTCAAGCCTCTAACTCGAAAAAAAAAATGATACTATGAAAGTACATGAAATACTGTAAATGCTATGATACAATCTGAAAATATGTTGGGGGTCTTGGTCCAAAAAAAGGATGGATCCTCAGTTTATAGTAAATAAATACAATTTACATTGCAGCCACAATGTTGGTTAGAAAAACATGCAATTAGATATTTTCTCCCAATCATTTAGCTCGATTGTATGGGTTTATGTGCTAAATACACACACACACACACACACACTCACACTCACACTCACACACACACACTCACACACACACACTCACACACACACACTCACACATTATCTAAGCTGCTTATCCTTCTGGGTCGTATGTGGTGCTTGAGCCTATCCCAGCGGTCATTGGCCAATTGTGCCAAATACAGTCATAATGAATTTTTGGGCAAGTTTCCAGCCTTTCTTTATTAGTGTGCTGCATAAAAAATGACTTCTGCTCTGATTGGATGCCCTGTATTGCATCTCATCCAGAAAGCATTCTGGGCTGAAACTGAAATTCTCTTTATGAGTGGGCAGAGCTAATATCCAGAGCTGGATATATGCATGTTCGTTTTTGTGACATCACGAAAACAATTAACTCAAAATGGATAGCTTAGTTTCCATATATGGACTTGGGGGTGAACTGCACATTTCACCCATGTTTACACTACTCTAAACTCTTATTATAATCATGATTTGGGCTCTTTAAAGTAGCAATACTTAGCATATGTGCGTGGAAACACCACTAAAGCATAGCTTTCTGAACAGCTACTTCTAATTCTAATCTAATACTGTCTGGCTGAACAATTCCTGAGACACAGACGTCAATTTGTCCAACATTTAATGCATTTTGTTATCAATAGTGTTGCTGCTGCATGAACAAGCTACAACAGATGCTAAGTAGCTAGTTTAGCCAAATATTGAGGCAGTCAGGTAGATTCATTGAGCTGCATTAAAGGATTTACGCTGCTTTCATCACAAGCTGACAGTGCAGGGCAGTTTAGCAGCAGTTCATAAGTTGTATGCGTAAAAACACAGCAGTGCAGAGCCTGCAGCAGCAGCCAGACGGGCATCTTCCTCCTCCATGGCTGCAAGCAGACGGAAGTTCTCGAGCACAAAGGAGAGAAAGAGCCGTCTTACCCAGAGCGCTGTCGGTTCTGGAGGACAGCAGACTGTCGAAGGCCACTTCGGTGAAGGCGGTAAAGGATCTGAAGTCGAAACAAGCTGGATCCGCCAGCGTCTGAAGCCCCTTTACTACCGAGTCTGACAACTCCATTTTGTGCAGACGGGCTCGGCGCGGTCACGTGAGCGCGTCAGCTGATCATGAAGCTGGCTATGCGTTATCAAGCGTGTTAAACATTGACTGCACATTTCAGCGCTTTGTCTGCACCAACATCCCAGTTTTAACCTCATGAAAGGGCTAGTAGTGATCTGAAGAACTGAAAATAAGGCGCTAAAAACATCTAAAATGCAGGAGAGCAGATCCCAAGGTTGAGAAACACGGTGTTCAATGGATAAAATCAACCACACAACTCCGATAACCAATATCTGATAGCCTATATGGCCATATACGCCCATATAACATTAAGGGTTAGGCATCTGTTACATAATATATGGCCATATGCAGTGTACATACACGTAAGTATCAAATATTGGACTTACAACATACACATAATATATGGATCATACGTATATGTCTGATGGATGGAGGTGGATGAATACATGCATGCATATAATATGGATCACACATATACAGTATGTCCAATAGATGTCTGATACAAACAATGAAAGCTTTTTTAAAGCAAAAAGGAGAATACAAAAAACCGTATAAGACATTAAGCTATTACATCCACACATTAATATTTTTTTCTTTCATACATTTTTACATGTGTTACAGATATTTGATTATATATGTTGACATATGGCTGAGATATATGTGCCATACTTGAAAACGGACAGTTTAAGATACGTTGGCATATATATCACATATCTGTTCATATATGACAAAGTTTAAGACGGATATAAGGGAAGTTAATGTATGCTAACATGACGTTTGAAATACATATATTGCCACATCTGATTTCCGTATGGGATCGTAGACGCTTACTGACGTCATCAGAGCTTTTATGTCTACTGTAGCTTCAACCTGCAACATGAATTTCTCAGCAAAATTAGCCTAAAGTCAAGACAGCCCAATCCGAATGGTCTCGCTTCTTGTTAGGCTTGGCTAATTGAGAAATCCTGTTTTGTGAAATAGCCCCTGGTCATGTGGACCGCAGTATAACTGCCCCAACACTCGGGGTAGAATCTATTGACTTAATCACAGGTTTTATTTGGCGTTAAATCGGGAGTATTTATTCTAGCAACCCGCAAACAAACGTGTCTGGTGGATACAGTTAAGCTGACTATTGTAAAGCTGATCATTCCTTGCATTTCAAACCATGACATCAGTGAAATAGTGAGGCAGTATTTCTGAGGAAAACTGATAAATTGAGCCTAAAGTGAGGATTGCTCAACAACAATACCCCTTACCTCACCTCGACTGGCTTAAAATATTTGGCTAACCGAGTAATCCCGGTCATCAACCCTCTTTCTGGAGATCTGCTTTCCTGCAGTTTAGTTCTAGCCTGCATCTAACACGCTGAGCCCTCTTTACCAAACACTAATACATTTGATCCAAGGACCCCTGAAGACGTTCATTAACTGCAGAATGTGGTTCAAACTACACTCCACATGAAGATCTCCAGGACCGGGGTTGGTGACCACTGACATACACAGCCATCCTGCTCTTATACTCCTCAGCCCTGTGGATGGCTTGATGTGTTAGCTGGTGAGTTGAATCAGTTCATGGTGCGCGGTGTATGAGGCTCCCTGATGAAGAATCGTGGTTTAAACCAACCCTTGAGTTTCTCCCGTCGCATGTGGACGAAATCAATATGAGATACGGGATTACTGTGATTATGATTATAAGGCTGTTCGTGTAGACAACGACTAACCTATACAGCTAAGACTAATCACAGTTGACTAATTCTCTGTCTTGAATAAACTACTGTTTGGTCCAAACTCTTCATCTTCTGTCTGTTCTCGTGAAATCGCATTTCTAAAACTACCTGAACAGATAGATTGAAGGTGTTTGAGTTGGATATCGAACCAAATAGATTTCATTTCAACATCTGAATGTTTCTAAATATTTCAGAATATTTGCAGTAAAGTGAAAAGCTGTCTGTAGCGTCCAAAGGTTTTGAAATATTTAGCATTAAGTCTGCAGAACGGAAAATGCCTATAAAATAGTTTGCTGTTTAACTTCACGGCACTGGGTTTACTGATTACGTCATCATGGTGAATGAAAAGCTCTGCAGTAAACCGGGATAAGCACATATTTCAAAATATATGCACCTAAAGCTATGTTATGTACAGTATTAAATCTTGGACATATATGCATAGTATATGAACCACACATATATGCCTGATAGGTGGGTGAACACATATGTGCATAATATATGAGCACATACATACTGTCTGCCTGATATATATCATGGATCATACAAATATCTGTGATAAAAACACCGACAGACTTTTTTAAAGGGAAAATTCAAAATAAAATTTACCAGCAATCACATGCAATTAAAAAAAAAAAACCTTGCCATTATATAACATGAAGCTAGCGTATATGAGTAATATATGCCATCTATATATGATTAATGCTCTCTGTCATATCTTGTTACACATTTATCACTGAAATATATGTCCCATATTTGAAAGTGACCAATTCAAATAAGCACATATGTATTGGATATGAGGGAAATCCAGATATGCTAATATATGTCACACTTAAAATCCATATGTTGCCAAATGTCAGATTTCCGTACAGGTCGTCAATGGAGCTTCAATCTCAAAAGAGGATCTAAAACCCGAAGTAGTAGTTTTTGTAATTTAATATATTTTTTAATAAAACACTAAAACATGTGCAAAAGGCTCATGCCCAACGTTGTTTTTAGGCCTCTGTGGCACTCACAGCATCAGAAAGCAACTCACAGCATCAGAAAGCAACTTATTTAGGCTCTATAAAATAAAGAAGCTAGTAAAAGAACCAAGTGCTCCACGTTTTTAATGAAATTGCCCGTTTTCAGATGGTAATAAAGGACTGCTGTCCTGTAAAAATGCGATTTGATTCAATGCAGATGCATTTGCAGAGCTATGGATGCTGAAAACGTTCATTGCAAACCTTAATCCTGTCATCTGCAGCAAACGTATGGACCACCTTACAGAACATATGTGTTCACACAAAGTTCAAATAAAACCCAAGCTGACTCAGGTGTTGAGTTTACGCCAATGATTATGGAAATTCAAATGTTCAGTTTGAAATAAAAAAATAACTACAAAGCCTTGATAAAGAAAAGCAAATTCAATTGCCGAGTGAAAAGTAATGAAGCTTTCAGTGGTTTGAGTGAACTAAGGCAACCTCTAGTTTTAGGCCGTCAACAAAAACGAGATTCCCTGGTATATAACGCTGGTCACGATTATGCGCATATATTTTCCCTTTCAAGCTGAAAACTTCTGTATATTTAAAAGGTTAGGATGTAAACAAGGTTATTCAGGGTGGTTTCACAGTGGTGGCGATCGGAACGAGACATCTGAAGAGTTTAAAGCCTCTAACAGAAAGTTATTATGAAATGTTTATGAATACGCTGCCAGTAGTTTAAAAGTTTCGGCCTCAAACGTCTTTAAAGAAACACATCCACGGCAAGAAAACGTTTTTTTTTTCAGATTTACTATTATTTTACAATCATCAACATTACGCAGGCCTAGAAAAATCCAGAGTGTAGGTTCGCTGCTAGTTTTGATTTGTAAATAAGATGGATATATTTGTGTTGAAAACATTATGACCCCTGGTTCCTATCACCACCACTGTAAAAAAATCTGAGTCAGTAAGTTTCTCTACAGTGAACCATTATACATCAAACCACACCGCACAACTTTGTTTACATCTCATAGATTAAATTATTTAAATTTTTTGGATGAACCATCAAGGAAGCCTTGAAGAACCATTTACACATGTATGTAAGGATGTACCTTCTTAGTGTATTGTCTGTCTTTTTGGGTCTCGGCCCACCACAAACATTACACTTTGGCCAACCAAGGCAAAACGTTTGGGCACCCCTGTTTCAGATTCTCTCTAAAACACCAAAACGCCTTCCATGACCTTTGTTTGAGGCCTACGACGAAACGGGTTGGTTAGATTGGCATTAAAACCTTTTGTCACATGGTGGAGGCTGTAGAATATGCATGATGGTCGATATTTATGTCTTACACGCAGCTGGATCCACACCACATGTGGAGAAGGAAAAGAAAACATTTTTTTTACTGAGTTCGCTGGCCTGAACTCGAAATGCTTATTAATCATGGCTTGTTAGACTGGCGCACAGATGGAGGGAGAAATAAATAAATAAATAAATAAATAGCATATTTAATACACTCAACGTTGAATAATTTATTAGATTTTTCAGAACTAACGAGGTCGTGAGTGAGTCTCAGAAAGAAAGATAAAAAACTCAACAGACTGACTAAAATTAATTACGTTACCTATACATTTGACACCACTGTAGCCCACCCAATTCAATTTCAATTTCATTGTATACTGATATGCTGAAATATAATATTTTAAATGACGCCTATCAAACTGTCATACTTAAAAGGGAATCCCACCAATTTTTCAAAAAGTCTGTACAATTATTTATTTAGATGCAAAGTTATTCAGAGTGGTTTGTAGTAAAAGTGACGTTATTTCACTGAAAACTGTCTAAAAGTACCCTTCAGAAAATGAGTAGAAGTAAAAAAATATCAGTTCAAAAGGGAACCGGTTTTTCCAAAACAGTCCTGCATAATTAATGTATCCAAATGTAAAGTCATTCAAAGTCGTTTGGTTTGAAATGTTCCACTCTAGAGAAACTACTGACCCTGAATTTTTCACAGTGGTAGTGATAGGAACCAGACGTCTGCCCCTAAAAGCTCCCTCACAGACAGTTATGACATTAAATGGTTATGAATGCACTGCTTGGTACTTTGTTTACGATAGTTTTGAGATAATGTTTCGCCATGAAGTGTATTTTTAAAGATTTATTGATGGCGGAGAGACACATGAAAGGACTTATAAGGCGAAAAAAAAATCCCTAAAGATTTTGGGTGGAAAATGGGTGGAAAATGGGTGGAATTCCCCTTTAACAACAGTTAAAGGTATTATAGAGAGATATGACTCTACGTGAATTTCTGACCCCAGAGCAGCCCTCTTGTTAATGGCCCAGA